AAGTCACTGAATCTGGTGTATCCGTCCCAAACCAAGCATCCACTGTTCCGGATTTCGAGTGCAAGGCAGGCTGTTCCGCACCATCTACTTCACGCATCTAGTGCGCGTACACCGCACCTTGGCACCGTGACCGGGGTGACAGGGCGGGACTGGGATGCCCCTCGCGGCAGCTAGAATTCGTTAGAGGGGTTCCATCCGCAGGGAGATACACGACGAGTTCGTGTCTATTGCTCTAGCTTGCACCTTGACACGCGAAAATCCGAATCGCGTCAGTTTCTCGTTCGAACCCATAGAATTTCAAGCGTGCTTGCCTCGCCAAAGGAGTCAAAAAGTCTTGAAGACACAGAAGTCGTTTTGAACGAGAGATGGTGCAGCGTCGGTAATTGTTTTAAAAACTCCGAAAGAAGAAGAATGCGGCCCTAAGATCCAAGTGAGCACGAAGAGGAGCATGATGCTAGGCGGAGGCTCACGCGAGGATGCCGCCGGCAGTGAAGAAATATCCGGAATAATCTACCTGGTAATAAAGCTAGCAGGGAGGTCCGCAGAGTATGCGCCGCACAGCGAAGGAAGGATCAAGTCTGGGTAAATCGCCGCAACCTGTAAGTATTAGGGATGGTCAATTCGACATGGCGCAGACATGGCGCAGATATATATATATATCACAGACGTCCCAGGAACAAGGCCCGCGCGGCCGTATTTTGGAGGGCAAAAGGGTGCAGGTGGAGTGCGGGGAGTTGCGGGACGCGGGTATGTCCGGTATCTCGTGTGGAAAGGCCGTAGCAATCCACAGCGGGCAATTTTCGAAGCACACCGCACGTCTCGTGTCCTTTCCAAAAATCAGGCTCAATAAAATTAAAATAAAAAATAACCAGCGTAAGACACCTCCCTCGAATATGCCCCCGAGAAGAGTCCACGCGGGAGGAAAGGCAGACCGGACTCGGAGACTCGGAGAAGGGCTCACAACTTGAAGAGAGAAGGGCCCACAACTTGAAGAGAGAAGGAAATACCTCGAAGGCCTGCGGAATTCGCGCGCGGGGGGGGGCGGACAGGAATGCGAGACGAACGAGTCCGAGCTTGAGGTGCAGAAAGACACGCTTCGAGCGTCCGGACTTGTGGGACGACGACGAGAGCTGAGCAAAATTGTTTGCCACGGGCGTCTGGGACAGATATCCATTTCCTACTCTGGCGGCACAAGGAAGTAGTTACGGTAGTATCCGGCCTCCTCGCATCGCCTCGCTCGCTGGCCGAAACAAGGGTGTGCCGCCGACGCCTACTCGTGACAATTCAATCAAGTCGCGCCTCCGGACGACACCGCGCAGAGCCCCCGACGTCGACGCTGCGCTGCTCACGGGCGGCGAGCACCGTTCGCCAGGCGCGAATCAGAGGACACGCGATGCCCCTAGCCCGCATGCGCCTGAACGTAGACGTCACGGTGCCGTGGGCGCTCTGACGCTGCTCGTGCGGCGGGGTGACAGCGGCACGGCCCGCGGCGGGGGACACGCAGTCTGCGCCGCAGGGCCGCACTCGCGAGGACGGACGCGGCGTCGGCGCGGGTCGGAGGGCGCGATCGCGCAGGTCAGCGGCGGGCAGTGCAGGCTCTGAGTCGAGGAGCCGTCTGTGCCACATCAGCGCGGTAGATGGAGGGAGGGCGGGCGCCCGTACTAGCAGTACGCAGAGCCGCTCCGGGCGCGTTGACGAGGGGCCGGGATGCATCGCGCAGGCACAGGGGGGGCGCAGCGCTCCAGACTCGTCCGATCCGGGGTGAGCTTCGGGACCGCTGCACGCCATCTGCGCAGCCCTGGCCGTCGCACCCGGACATCCGCGCCGCGTCAGCGTGCTCCGCGGTGCGCGCAGCTGCAGCGCGCGCGGGGTCCTCCGCGCCGAAAAGCGCGGGCCGCGCGCACAAGCCCGAAGGGAAGGCTTGGTATCGCGCAGCTGTCCGCATCTCGGTACAATTGCGGAGAGGAAGGGCGGGCGCGCACGGGGCTTCGAATAGTAGCTTCACGAGGTCCTCTGCTGGCGGTGGTACCGCGGCTTGCGCCCCAAGAACACTGCGCGCTCAAGACGCGCCGCGCGGGGGCACCCCGGACCGCGTTCGTGGCGCCGAGTGTGCGGGGGCGCATCATCTGCGCGGCGCGGCGCTAATCCACGCAGGCGAGTGTCGCCGGAATGCGCCCGCAAGGCTCGCACAGCCTGTGATCCACATCCCTCAGCACGAGGAGCGAAATGGCGAGAAGCTGGGTCGGCGATCAGCAGGGATAGCACGCAGCGGAGAGGTGCGCACGTACGGGCCTTGGGCGCTGCCGTGGAGGGAACGATCGGCTGGCCTCCCGAGGGTCGTCTGCTGGTTCCCTCACTGGCACGTAACACACATCGCGCGCGACGGAGGGAAGGGCACGTTGTTTGCGCAGAGGGAAGGGTCGCAGTCACGTACTCGCTCGGTGTTCGGCGGGCACGGTGCACCGAGCACGAGAGCATCAGTAAAAGTGCACGTTGGTCTTTGATGTCTTTAGTCTTTGAGATGTGTCTTTCCGCATCTTGGTCTTGAGGATCACATCTTTTGTCTTTGGAAAGGCATCTTAGAATGTCTTTGTCTTGGGTAAACATCTTGTGTCCTCTCGAAATCTTTGAGGAAAGTATTGTGAGGTGAAAAAAATTGGAAGAAAGGAGATGTTAGACATGGAATGGTACGTGTACACGCTGTTGTTACTAGTACAAATCCACCAGTCCGCCGAGAGGTCGCGCGCAAGTCGCGCGCGTTGAGTCGGGAGGATGGATGCTAAAATTGGAAACATGAGAGATTGTTAGAAACTGCGGAGCCAGAAGTCGACCAGAAGTATTCGAGCCAACTTGGCAGTCGGGTGAGTGCATTTCACTAAGTAAGATGCGAGAAATGCCAATGTCGGTTGCGATGAGCGGAGACGTGAAGTCCTTTAAACTCCGCTCGGATCAAACTCCGAACTCCGGATGGCGTGATGATGGCAACGCCATCAAATGGTTGGTCGTCTCTCTCTCCTTCCCCCCACAATCCCCCAGCGCCCTTCCTCGTCAAGGCCTCCCTTAGAGCCTCCCCGGGTGTCATGCCTCATGCCTCAACACTTGCAAGGCCTCATGACTCAATCCTCCCTCGCAAGCCTCCCGACGGACCCGACCTCAAGCCTCGAAGCCCCAAACGTCGCAAGCCCAAGTCTCAAACGTCGCAAGTCTCCAGGCCGCAAAGCCTCAAGCCTCAAGTCTCAAGCCTCAAGCCTCAAGCCTTTCAATCCCAGCCTCAAACTCCCTGCTTTCGCCCCGTCCCGTCCGTTGCCTCCCTTGCATGTGCCGGTCGCTGTTTCTTGAAACCTTCCGCCGCTGAGTCGTCCTTGTTGTTCACATTTCCGCACTAATATCCCTCTCCCTTGACAGTCTCTCACGGCGTCTCGGCAACTCGCATGCACCGTCCGGGTCGCGCGCTCCCTAACTGGTATGTCGTACCGTTTGCACGCTCCCTCAGGCTATTCATGCTTGCGACCAGGTCGGCATACCCAATGATCCTGTAATGCCGCATGGTTCTGTCCAATGCGGGGTGCCCGCGGCCTTGTACTTGTACATGCTCTCCTCGGTTTCTGTGATATACATACAGTATTGGCTGCTTGTACCCGTCGATCATCAATATAAACATCTTTTGCCCGTCTTTCAGTTATCTTGAGGCATCTTTCGTGGTTTCAATGCATCTTTAATGGAGTCCTGGGTAAGACATTCCCCATCTTAGCAGTCTTGCCCAAGATGCCGCATCTTTCAAAGATTTTTGAATCTACTTGGCCAAGATGCACATCTTGGGGGAAAATGCATCTTTGACGTCTTTGACGTCTTGCCCAAGACTCCAAAGATGCCAAAGACAAACATGCACTTTTACTGATGAGCCTCCGCGCGCATCGAGGCGAGACGCAGGTGGCGCACAGCCTGGAGCGGGAGCTATATGCTCATAAGCACGGATAACACAGCGACAGTAGAAGGGCGAGCACGCACGCATGTAATGTGCGGAGGTGCCGCGTCGCAGGACAGCCCGACGCCGGCGATGCAGACTGCACGGGAGGCGCTGCACGTTACTTGCGCGAGGAAGGTACCTTCGTCCGAGTCAGCGCCAGACGTGGATTTCGTGGCGCGAAGGGGCTATGTGCCCGTTAGTACGCGCAGAGTAGGACACGCACGCATCGAGCTACGTCCCACCGTCGCAGTCCCACCGTCGCAGTCGAAGGAAACCGCTACAGGTGCCGAGGTTGCAGGTAAGCCTTGCACTAGGCTGAGGACTGACGCGGCCATGGAGGCGAGAAAGAGACACGGCTTTTGCGGTGTTTGCCAACGGCACCAGGCCAAAATACATTTCATGCATCAGGTTCGGAGCAAAAGCCCGCGCAGCTCCGGTCCGGCGAGCCGGCCCTTCTCTCAGTTCCGCGCCACCCGCGACTTGGAGCGCCGGCGCCGGGGGTGGGATGGGAATGGAGGTGTTTGATGCGTTTGAGGACTGAGGCCTGAGACTGACTGGTGGGATCAGGAATGAGTGGAGCGTAAAGGCACCTTCGTCCTCGACTCCTCGCCGCTCAACCAACGCTCAACTCCGCATCGATGTGCGAGCGCACGCAACATGTACCAGTATTTATGTACTCACATATCGCTTGTCTGCAGTCAGCATTCATTCAGCCCTAGCACTAATATTGAGGCGCGCAGGCGTTTGCATCGACTCGGTGGTGGATGGCCTCCCGCGCTCAATGACCGTTTGGAGTTCATCCATATAGCGGGAGGCGCCTGTTCGACTCGGGCCCGAGTCATAAAACGCAAGGCGTGTTCTTTTTGTGCTCGGCTGCTAAGGTGTGCCAGTAGTACAACTGATGTTCAAGTGGCGTCAACGGAGAATGGAGAATCGGAGTTGGAGCACAAGAAGACATGGCCGAAGCTGAATTCGCCAGTCAGCGTACCGATCTCTGCATTTGGTAAAGAATGTTCAACGCGAGGGGAGATACGACTCGGTGGCGGATGGCCTCCCGCACTCACTTCGTGCTGGCGATCACATGCAGCGGGAGGTGCCTGTTCGACCCAGGCCCGAGTCATTCCAGGAAAAGAAATAGGGTTTTTTCGCGCTGCGGAGGGGTAGTCCACCCTTGCGTCCACTGACACCAGATAAGTGGATTCGAGATCAGCAATTTATTGCGAAGCTGGATTGTTTTCCTGTGCGTAATGTGTCTTCTTACCTCGCAGAAGGCGCGCAACTCGTCCGGCCGATAAATATTATCATTCTAAGGGCATGAATACCACGGCCTAACGGCGCTTGTACCGACTCGGTGGCGGATTGCCTCCTGTACTCAATTGGCATTTACAGTGGTCATGCAGCGGGAGGCGCCTGTTCGACTCAGGCTCGAGTCATAATACGTCGCGATCTGTCTTTTGCTTCCGTGCTCGCTGGCTGGCTGCGGGAGGCGAATTTACATGGAATATTCAATTTGCGTCAATGGAGAATGGAGCGTTGGATTTCGCGCTCACCAAGGCATGCCGAAGCTGGATTTTTCAATGAGGTAGCGCACGCCCCGTATGGGATAGGTAAATGAAATTCACAGTCAAGGAGGTTAGCGCGGCTAGGTAGATACGACTCAGTGGGGATGGCCTCCCGTGCTCGATTGGTATTCGCGGTGGTCATGCAGCGGGAGGCGCCTGTTCGAACCGGGCCCGAGTCATAAAAAGTGAGAGGGGTATTTTTTAGTTCTCCTCTCCCGCCTTTGTCTGAATCCAGTTCATCCATGTTGACATGGAGCACTCCCTTTCCCAATCCCTCACAATGCAATCAGGCGCTACGTGAGCTCCCGGAGCCATCCCGACATCGTGAAACCTCGAATGTGTAACAGGAGCGCGGCACAGATCTTTCGGAAAATAAGATCAACATCAATGAATTTCTAGGAGAGACGCCCATCGACTCCGCGGCCGGGCACAAAAAAGAAGTACTTGAGAAATGGCTCGGGCCTGAGTCGAACAGGTGGCTGTCGCCAGATGATACTATTCACTAGATCGTACATTGAGTATGGGCACGGTCCATCCGCCACCGAGTCGCTACATCGCTTGTGCGCTGCGCAATTAGTGGTGATCTTGTTAGAAGTGCATGTAATAATGCAGAATATTTATGAGTGCGACGAGTTGCGCCGTACATACAAAATGCACTCTCGTTGCCCGCTAGATTGATGAAATACGATACAGCCCACGGCGCATTGACGCGAGTTCAAATTATTGAACAAGTCGTACTGCCCCTCCGCAGCATGCCAGAAAAAAGCAGAAGAAAAACCCCGCTTGCGGATGGCTTATGACTCGGGCCTGGTTCGAACAGGCGCCTCCCGCCAGATGAAGTCATCGATGGATTATCGAGCGCGGGAGGCCATCCGCCACCGAGTCAGTTCAACCTCCTGTGCACCTCGGTATGAGTGTTAGTAGTAGTGCCCATATCAACGCTGAATATTAATCAGGGACGAGTCAGCTATCTAGGGCACATTATATGTACACTCCTCTTCGTCCGTTCCCTGCGGCAGTGAGTCTCTAAAACCGTACTCTCACCTGAGTCATCTCTGCCATCCACGGGCAGATCCTCAGATAAACCAAAGAGATAGCTGTAGAACCCCTGAAATCAAATAAAAAGATAAGCGTCTTCTTTTGTGAGTCGGGCCTGGATCGAACAGGCGGCTTAGGAACAGCGGATGTGGACCCTCCGCCACCGACTCGTACTTACCTCTCACGCGCCAGCCCTTCCCGGAGTCCATTCCGAAAGAAGGAGAAAAAATTGAAAACGAGCGATGAACAATTATTCACCATCCCTACGGATATCCGAGGCCCTAACTCCATTCTCCTTCACCCATGAGCGCAGGGTGTACCTGCACATCAAATCCTCCGCCGGGAACAAAAAGAAGAGTCCGAAATCATATGACTCGGGCCTGATTCGAACAGGCGCCTCCCGCTAGAGGAGAACTAGGCTTTATTATTGAGCGCGGGAGGCCATCCGCCACCTAGTCGCCCCTTGTCCTTGGACTCATCCTAGGCACTCAAGTGACTCACCTACGCTTCAACACACCGCAGCCTCGGCACAACTTGCAAATCAACCCCAGACATGGTCAATGGGCTTACCAAGTCGGCGATTTTCGTTGCTTTCTACCTTGTATCCGGCCGCCGGGAGACTAGATCAGTACAGGTTTGGAGGAAAACACGGTGGGTAGGTGAACCTGCGGCCTGCCGAGGAGGTTTGGACGGCGGACCCCACTGAAAGCCACAGCCATAAGCTTCAGGCTTTCAGAATCCCGGGACGTGCAAGCTGATGACCAGATCCTGTATCGGGCCCCCACTTTAGCTTCGACCATTAGGCTGTAGGTACATACGGCTCACCGGTACAGCCGTACCTCCGGCACGGAGCGCACTACGGGTGCGGTGCCGTTGCGTCGAACTTTCTGACTGGCAACCACGGCACGGCTCGGCACCATGGGTTGAACTTTCAAAAGAAAAAAAAACGAGGGTTTTCTACGGCAGCTGCGGCATTTACACGGGTGGATTTTGCTAAGTGAATAATTTACTGTCGGAAATATTAACCTTAGTTACCATACTTTATGAGGACCTAAGAATTGGTTTGACCATCCGTTAAATAGAATAGGATTTGGGTACATGGTTACGATGCTGTGCAGCACTACAAAATACCCGAAACTACATAGTATGATTTGGAAGGGAGGCGCATGTTACCGGGAGATTTTTGTCATATATATTCGGAGCACAAAGATAGATGTGCGGGTAGTGAGACTTCGACGACATATGCTAAGATTGGGTCCTCGTAAGCGCCATCTTAAGATCCTCCGCCTGTTGCAAATTTTCCGAGCTTGGAGTATGTGACTGCCAGACGCTGCCTGGTGTCCACAAGGTGGGTATGGATGCCAGTTAGGAAAACACTCTGCTCCTGGAGGGCAGTAGCTAGGAGCTCTTCTGCTTCCTGCCATCTTTCCAGCTTGTTGAAGGTAGATCCCAGATTTGACATGGAGCGAAGGGTGTCTGGATGGTTGTCACCTAGGATATTCCGCCGCTTATCAAGAACCAGGACCTCGAACTCCTCAGCTTCTTGCATTCGTCCCAATTCATTGTACAGGAGTCCCAGATTCGCCATGCTCAGTAGGGTTACTGGATGACAGTCACCGAGAATATTCCTCCGCTTCTCAAGCACTCTTAGTCCGAGCACCTCGGCCTCCTTGAATTTCCCCAGCTTGTAGTACGTAAATGATAGGTTCGCCATCGACAGGAGAGTTTCTGGATGGCTGTCGCCTAAGATCTTCCGCCGTTTTGCCAGGACCACAATCTCAAGTTCCTCAGCTTTGTTCAGTTTTCCCTGAAATCTGTAGCTGGCTGCCAAGTTGTTCTGAGCAGTCAGGGTCTCTGGATGGTCATCACCTAAAATCTCCCTCTGCTTCATAAGAACGCGAACCATAAGTTCCTCTGCCTCTCGGGATCTTCCCAAGCTCTGGTACAGGTGTGCCAAATTCCCCATCGCGCTCAGCGTGTCTGGATGATTATCACCCAAAAGGCTCCTCCGCTTCTCAAGGAGCACAGTTTTAAATTTCTCAGCCTCCCTAAATTTGCCCAGGCCCTCATATATCTCTGCCATATTCGCCATCACATTGAGGGTATCTGGATGCTCATCACCTAGAATATGTCTCCGCTTCTCAAGTACTACAACCAAAACTTCCTCTGCATCCTTCCAGAGGCCTAGGTACTCATATGCCCATGCCAGCCAGTACATTGCATCAAGAGTGTCTGGATGGTCCTCGCCGAGAAGATTCTGCCGCTTCTCCACCACCATTGTCTGAAACTCCTTTGCCTTTTCTGCGTTGCCTGCAAACATGTACACTTTTCCATACTGATGTGCCAAATCTGGAAGTACATTTAAACTTGACTTCACCAAGGAATCAATATGGGGCAACATCCATTGACTAGTTACATTTATATCGTGCTCTGATAGTGCAGCAAGGCACATTGCTGCTATGACACCGATGCAACGATGATATGGTTCCATGTCAGACAGTGTGCTTCGGGTCCACTCATGCACAAGGGGATGCATGGAGAACATATTCTTCATCAGGAAAAACCCCCTTTGCCAATTGGCCAAAAATTGTTGACAATTTCTCACAATGTTGGAATGAGCGCAATTGTGTCAAAATGTCGCCAAAATGTTGGCATTCGGTCGCATTATTCAAACAATCCTTGGATAGGTGAATCAAAACCAGTATAGAAGTGGCGCGGAGACTTGTATTGAGCCATTGATATGGATAACCGTGTTTAGAATCTGCTTGTGTGTGCAAAGGAAAGTTTGACCACCTAGACCATCGCAGAAATTGTTTCAAGTCGTTGAAACTCCGCTCGGCTAACACACCGCCTTCGCGAATCAGGATCAACAGTCAACACACGACCAAATGTTGACGAGGCCACGCGTACCTTTCTTCCTTTCCCCCACCATCTGCTACTTCCTCCCTCTTTCATTTCATGCGGCGTCCCTCTCCATTCCGTCTCCCGAGACGGGTTGATCTACTGAGTAAGTCCATCACTCATTCTGGCATCCCCTACTCATTCTTTGCGGTCTTCCAGCCAGCATCGTGCGGCCTGTGGTGGGGCCCCAGAGTCGTAGGTGTACTCAGCTATTCTTGTGCATTTCTGACTGTCCGCACAGTCTCGCCGTGGACTCCGCCGACTCACCTTCCCAGTTCCTCAGCTTCGCACTGATGGGCAGCCCAAGGTGCACACCCGTTCGACGAGACTCCGAGCAAGCACTTCGCTGTCTGTCCCCCCTCCCCATCCTGCTCGGGCCTTTGCTGACCGATCCTCCTCAGCTTCCCCGGTGCGCGCCGCCTCTTGCACGCACTCGACACCACGGTCCACCGCTCGGCGATCTCATCACCGCCAGTGCCGTGCCGTACGGCCTCCCCTCGCGCGCGCTGCTGCACCACCTCGAGGCCGCAGAGGGCAAGGAACACAGGGAGACTAAGGTGCGCTGAACCATGTTCCTATCTTCTCCTTAGCTTCCGGCCCATGCCCTTCTGCGCTCATTGCCCTGTGCTGATGTTTCCTGCAGGTCTGTGTCACCACTTCGACTCGCTCCCCGTACAAATCATGCATTACCTTAATCCTTAACGTTTGCTTGCTCCCTTTCTCTTTCTCTACTCGCCTTCAATTTGCTGACCCGTTTGTTTGCCCCCCTCGACAGTCTCTCCTCACTGGGTAAGCCGTTTGCTTGACGACATTTTGGACCGCCTGCTAATCAATTCTGCGCACGCCACTGCATCAAGCCGTGCTTCATCGTCGTCACCCAGTTATCCGCCATCAACCACTCATTCGTAGATTAGATGACCTTTTCTCTCAGTCGTGCCGCCTTCCTTTCACTCCTTGACTGTCCCTGATAGTGCGTGACACGGCGCGTTGGAGTCGTAACACTGTAGTCACTCGTACCAAACCTGTGCCACGAGGGGGGTTGACACGGGGGGCTATATTAGTCTATTAGTCTGTAATCCGTGTGTACAATGTATCCTGTATGTAGAACTGCAATATAACAACCCTCATTTCGGCGTACACAGATGCTTAAGGTGCTCCAATTCATCTGAATTGTGTGACAATTGGCTGCAAATGGTTGACAATTGTCGAGAAAATGGCAATATTTTTTGGGGACTGAAACATTTTAACATTTTGCCATTTTTCGCAAAATGCTACAGAATGTTGACATTTTCGGTCGATTGTTAAACATTGGTTTAAGTTTGGGACAAATGGCAATGGGGGATTTTCCTGATGTTCTCTGGATCGAAATTGATCAGGGAATATGCTCTGATCTCATTGGTTACATCCATGAAGCGCAAGGGATCCCAGGCACCAAAAGGGTCTGAAAATTGTGACAGCACCTTGACTGTCATCTCCAGCTCTTCTTTTGATAGGCTAGATGGTTCAGATATGTAATTTGTGGCATTCTTGAATATATTCTCTGAGATTCCGTGATAATGAAGGAATGAACAAAGCTTCAAGAATGTCTTGGCCTGTTCACTGAGCTGCTCAAAGCTAATATGCCATGTAGTATAAACTGTCCATGAATAATTATCATGTGTCTGGACAGGCTGCTCAGTGAGCAGCTTAGCTTTGTTGTGTTCATACAAGGAAAGATAGCTGCCAAGATTTCCGGATCTCGAGATAAATGCCCCAGCCTGGATGATTGCAAGTGGAAGGTAGTGGAATACCTGAAAAAATGTTAAACAGAGAATGAGCTACAGAAATCCCCTCACCCACCTTCACAATCTGGGCAGCAGTATCTTTGTTATGATCTGTTTTATGTTGGGCAGCACTTGCTAGCAGTAGATTCACAGCATCTCTTTCTTCCATGTCAGAGACAGCACAATATGAGCTGGCATAAACACAGAGCCCAGGATTTCTGGATGTGATGATGATGTTCCCATGACTGCATTGGGGGAAATAGTTGTTGAGATTGATTTTGGGGTCATCAGCATTGTCGAAGAATAGAAGCCATTCATCTTGATTACTCCTAAGCCATTGAAGAGCATCCTTTGATGAATCCCCAACACTCTTTGTTGTAGCAATTGTTTTGAGACCTGTATCAATTGTCTCAGCAGTGCTGGTGTCAATGACAAATATGTCAGTGAATCTAGTAATACATGAGTCACACTTTCAACCGCCTGGCAAATGGACTAACTGAGACGCTGATTGCTCTATGAACTTTAGTGCAATCTGTGTCTTCCCTGCACCACCAAGACCATGTAGCAAGAAGATGTATTGTTTGTCCACGTTCCGGGTGAAGTATTGATGCATTTTGGCCAGAATGGTTTTTCTCCCATGGAAGATTCTTGTGGGAGGAGGACAATTGTTGATCCGTTGGGGGACTTTAGTTTGGGTTGAAAAAAAACAATCAAAGTTGGATGAGCTACAGAGGGTGAAATATCTACCTGTTGAAAAACCTTTGTAAATTTGCAGATTAGTATCAATTGCAGCTGTGAGCTTAACTATCTGTTAAGAAGTCGTGTCAAGAAGATGCCTCATATGTACCAGGAAATTCAAGCGCAGTTCTTGGATTTTCACTCGATGTCCAGCAATTTCATCGGTGGTACTATTCAGCTTTATGACTTCTTTGAAGCGCCCACTGAATCCTCGGGGTTCTTTCTGTAGCTGTTCCACTGCCTTCAAAACATCCTGAAGAACACTACCAGATAGACATCAGTACAGATATTTGAGGTGCACAAGTATAGGCATTCACCTTTCAAGGTTTTCACATAACCCTTTGAATTTTACTGCAGCTGTATTGCCGTGAGAGGAAAGCTGGTCTTGAATAGTCTTGATGATTTCCATAATATTGCTGCACAGCTCCTTCATGCCATCTTGATTCTTCTTCACTTTCTGTGGTAGCTAAAGTTGAACATGTGCTCCAGACAACTGGGAAGGGACCAAACCTCGATTGTTTCTAAGATGATCACCACCATTCCAAAGACCCCTTTCACATAAGGGAAAGGCAGACATTCTGCTCCTGCAGTAACTGCTTTTGCAGTCGCAAGGGAGGTTGTGAGCCAGTCTGAATTTGAGCTGGACGGTTTGAAAGCTTGGGAGGTTCTCCCTCCTCTCTGTTGAGGGGAACTGGATGCTGCTGGAGGATTGCCAGAAGTCGACATAGGGGAAGATGGAGAGATGTATCAAAGGACCTGGGCTAGGAACAGCATCCTCAGCTCCTGCGACAGGCATCAAAACAGAATGTCTTCCCGGAATAGATCTAACTTGATTAATGAAAGCTTTCCTACAGAACTCCGCTCAATCACCATCCAATGACAATAGATTGCCAAAATCATATTTAGATGTGTACCATGTACCATGCTTGACGACCACCCCAAGAATGGAATGGCCCCGTACGCAATTAAAGCTATTAAACGCTCGCGCATATTTTAATGTTTCATTTTGTATTTACCAAGAAAATAACCGCACTCCAGCACTCCTGTTGGTGCACAGCCCGGTATTGAGCAAGAGATCAGCCGAAATGGGAGGCACGCTGCCTCGAAACACAGTGCCAGTTTGATGGCTGACGGCCGTTCTTGACCCGAGTCTGCATAAAGAGGACACAGCCCCAGTTTGATGGCTGATGGCCGTTCTTGACCCGAGTCTGCATAAATAGGACTCAGCGCTCAGGGCCCAACACGTGATTCACCGCGCCGTCGCCACACGCAAAAAAATAAATAAATAAAGAAGCCAAGAAGCCAAGAACATTGTGTGGCGGTGTGGCTGACATCAGCCGTCCCGCTCCCACTCGACAACTCCCAAAGCGCGTCATTCTGTACCCCGGGACGCGCGTGCGCTCCAGGTGCACAACGACCCCGCGCGGGGCGCGATGAACGAGCCATGTACTGAACAGGACTTTGGGCTTTGAGTTGGATGTACGCGGAGGTTTTCCGAGGGGGATGAGGTTCGTCTGCTCGCTGCTCTTGTGTTGGCGCAGCCTGAGGCCTGAGGGTTTCCTGTAGGAAGTGCTCATTTGTTCGAAGGCGCGCACCGCGCTCTACAGACTAGGTATCAATATGGACCGCAGCAGAGTCGTTGATTGACTGGATGTGCGCAATATTCATCCAAGGCGGCAAGTTCTTGCTTGGGGCGTTCGTCAACGCGTCAACACCGGTTCGGCAACAGCGAAGGGCTCAGCGCTCAGCCCCGTGGGCGCAATCAAGTGCCAAAGGCATTCGGGGGCGCCGACGGCACGCTCGCGCATCGCATCACCTGTGCCGCAACGTTCAACCCCGCGGGCATCGCGCGCACCGAGCCGCGCGTCTTCGCCGATGCCCCCGCCATAATTGCTGCACCGTCTCAGTCTGTTCCGAGCCCCGCGCACGCCCCGGCCTCGCGGACATGTGCGCCGCGCGCATGCGTGTCTGGGCCGCCGCGGGTACAGTTATCGTGTGCGCGCGCGCTGCTCGGCCCGTACAGAGTACTACTCCGCGGCCGCCAGCGACGTTCCCCGCGTAGACACAGGGAAGACAAACGCAGAGTCGGACAAGACATGGGCACTCCTCGCCGCTCTGCGCGCCAGCCCCGTGGCGACGCAGGCGGCCGTCGCCTCTCTCCCGCTGCCCCTCTCACCTTTCTCTTAGGACAACTCCCGGTAGCGCAAGCGCCAGGAATGTCGCAGAGCATGCGAGTATGAGCGGCGGCGCGTCGCACGCGAGTACCTGCGCGCGGAAGCGGGCGCCGTGCTGGGGATGCGCGGGCGTTGCGGCGAAACAGGCGGAGCCCCGATCCGCGCCCGCCTCGCTGCCGCCTGAATCCGCGCATGGCCTGCCTTCCCACTCGGCGTGGCTGCCTTCCCGCCTCTCTCGCCGCACCCGAGTACGAGCAACTTCGCGCCTTCCGCGCTGCCCGCGACTTGTAGCGCCGGCGCCAGCGCAGGGGCCGAGGTTCGGGGGTTTGATGCGGCTGAGGACTGAGGACTGACTGGGATCAGGAATGAGTGGAGTGGAGCGCGGAGGCATCGTGCGCACCCTCGTCCTCCGCTCAATCCACTCCACTCCGCATTGATGTGCGAGCGCACGCAACATGTGCCAGTATTTAACTGCTTACATATCGCTCGTCTGCTGATACAGCATTCGTATAGGGCCTAATAGCATGGCGCGCAGGCGTTTGTACCGACTCGGTGGCGGATGGCCTAGCCTCCCGCGCTCAATGACCGTTTGTGCACCATGCAGTGGGAGGCGCCTGTTCGACTCAGGCCTGAGTCATGAATCATGAGGCGTGTTCTTTTTGTGCTCGGCTGCTAAGGTGTACTTGATGCTCAAGGTTACATCAATGGAGAATGGAGAACTGAAAGTCGAGCGCACGATGAAGCTGGATTTTTCAATGAGGTAGCCCACCGCCCCGTGCGCGATAGGTAGATGCAATGCACAGTGAAACAGGGTAGCGCCAGTAGGCAGATGCGACTCGGTGGCGGATGGCCTCCCACCGCCCTGCGACAGGTAAGTGTAATTCACAGTCAACAATGCCAGCGCGAGTAAGGGGATACGACTCGGTGGTGGACGGCCGCCCGCGCTCCATTGATGCTGACGATAAGGCATGTAGCGGGAGGCGCCTGTTCGACTCAGGCCCGAGTCATTCCAAGAAAAGAAATAGGGGTTTTTTTCGCGCTGCGGAGGGGTAGTCCACCCTTGCGTCCACTGACGCCAGATAAGTGGATTCGAGATCACCAACTGAATTGTTTACTCAGTCTGCGCGCGATGTGCACTTACATCGCAGAAGACACGCGACTCGTCCGACGAAGAGATATATATAATTCAGCATTCATACGGGCATTAATAGCACGGCCTAGAGGCGTTTGTACCGACTCGGTGGCGGATTGCCTCCTGTACTCAATTGGCATTTACAGTGGTGCAGCGGGAGGCGCCTGTTCGAATCGGGCCCGGGTTATTAGTCGTAAGGTCGTTCTTTTTCTTCCAGGCTGGGTGGCTGGCTGCGGGAGGCGAATTTACTTGGAATATTCAATTTGCGTCAACGGAGAATGGAGGGCTGGATTTCGCGCTCACCAAGGCATGCCGAAGCTGGATTTTTCAATGAGGTAGCGCACCGCCCCGGATGGGATAGGTAAATGAAATTCACAGTCAAGGAGGTTAGCGCGGCTACGTAGATACGACTCAGTGGGGATGGCCGCCCGCGCTCAATTAGGATTCACAATGGTCATGCAGCGGGAGGCGCCTGTTCGACTCAGGCCCGTCATAAAACGTGAGATCATTTTCTGGCCGCCTGCTAAGGTGTATTGGTAGTAAACCTGATGTTTAAGGTTGCATCGATGGAGAATAGGCGTTCGAGCTTGCGACGCTATGGCCAAGGCTGAATTCGTCAGTCAGCGTACCGATCTCTGCATTTGATTCACAGCCAAGAATGTTTAATGCGAGGGGGAGATACGACTCGGTAGTGGATGGCCTCCCGCACTCAATTCGTGCTGGTTATACCACGCAGCGGGAGGCGCGTTCGAATCGGGCCCGAGCCATGACTTGTGAGGCGTGTTCTTTTTGTGCTCGGCTGCTAAGGTGTACTTGACGCAATGGGTCATGGAGGATTGGAATTCGGGCGCACGAAGGCATGCCGAAGCTGAATTTAGGAACCACCGTCCCGGGCGGTGTCCTTACTTCATGGTCTTCACGGGCAAGAATGTTTGGTGCCAGGGGAGATACGACTCGGTGGGGATGGCCTCCCGTGCTCAATTGGTATTCGCGGTGGTCATGCAGCGGGCGGCGCCTGTTCGACACAGGCTCGAGTCATATGCAGTGTCGGATATTTTTTACTTCTCCTCCCGCCGTTGTCAGAGTCCGGTTGAGGTAGAGCAATCCCTTTCGTATTCTCATTCTCTCACAATGCAATCAGGCGCTACGTCAGCTCCGGGCGCGATTACCACTTCGCTGGTTGAAAGCTCGAATGTGTTACAGGAGTGCTGCAGAGATCTTTAGGAAAGCAAGATCGGCATCAGTCAATTTCGAGTACGAGCAGAAAGGCCCAGACGCCCGAATACCGACCCGATCTCGTACTTACCTCTCGGCACAGCCGAACCTCATACATGTACGGAAAGGAAGTTATTAGTTAAAAGAAAGATGGAATCATCATGACTCGGGCCTGGTTCGAACAGGCACCTCCCGCTAGACAATCGCTCGACGCTCGTCTTGTTCATGGATTACGGGCGCGGTCCGTCCGCTACCGAGTCGGTACAACCTTCCGTGCGCCGGGCGATGAGTGTTAGTGCTCGTATCAACGCTAGTGCGTGGTAGATTTATGGGTGCAACAAGTTGCGCGTGCCGTACATCAAAATTCTGCCGCCACACCCAGGGCGCATTGACGCAGGGCACAAAAAAAAGCAACTGAGAAATGACTCGGGCCTGGGTCGAACAGGCGCCTCCCGCCAGAAGATCTGATCAACACATTATCGAGCGCCGGAGGCCATCCGCCACCGAGTCGGTACGAACGGCTGTGTGCCTGGCTATTAGTGCTCATATCAATTCTGAATGTTAGAGTGGGACGGCTCGCACGATGCACGGCGCCGTGTACTACCCTCTTCGAAGTTCGTCTGTCCCTGGGTCAGTGGCAGTGGGTTTCCAATACAAATCCTACCCCCACCTGAATGACCGAGTCATCTCTGCCAGCCAAAAATATAGTTGGAGAACCCCTCTAAACGAAAAAAGAAGAAATAGGTACCCGTCGTTTTCAGAATAATGGAAAAATCCGGCTCACTTTGCTCCTGCTCAATTCACCATTCCTACGGACATCCGAGGCCCCAACTCCATTCTCCTTCACCAATGAACGGTTTAACTGCACATCGAATCCGCCGCCGGGCACAAAAAGAAGATACGAAATTACTGGGACATGACTCGGGCCTGATTCGAACAGGCGCCTCCCGCCAGATGATACTATTCCCAATTTCTAACATTGTACGGGCGCGGTCCATCCGCCACCGAGTCGGTACGAGGGCATGTGCGCCTGTTACTAGTAGTGCCCATAACATTTTCCAATAAAAATCCTACCACCACCCGAGTGACGGAGTCATCTCTGCCAACCAAAAATATAGTTGGTGAACCCCTCTAAACGAAAGAAGAAGAAATAGGTACCCGTCGTTTTGAGGAATAATGGAAAAATCCGGCTCACTCTGCTCCTGCTCAATTCACCATCTTTACGGATATCTGAGGCCCGAATTCTATTTTCCCTGACCAATGCACCCAGGATTTAACTGCACATCGACTCCGCGGCCGGGCACAAAAAGAGTTCAATCAAGTCGTATGACTCGGGCCTGATTCGAACAGGCGCCTCCCGCCAACTCGCGCATCTGTAGGCTGGCATGAATAACGGGCGCGGTCCATCCGCCACCGAATCGGTAAGTCGATATCAGTTCTAGTACTTGTGTTCATATTCATGCTCAACATCCACAACTTTTGGGTAGCTCAAACGCCGGCAATCCGGCAACTACATAAGGCGTGGGAATACATGGTTGAAGAACGCGGTGTGGCGGTGTGGCGGTGTGGCTGACATCAGCCGTCCCCGCTCCCATTGGACAATTCCTTCCACCGGCCAAAGCGCGTCATTCTGTACCCACGGACGCGCGCGCGCGCCAGCTGCGCAACGACCCCGCGCGGGGCGCGACGACCGAGCCGCGCGTTGAGCAGGACCATGAGCTGGACGCACGCGGAGGTGTACATGGTGGGATGAGGTGCGTCTGCTCTCCTCTTGTGTTGGCGCAGCCTGAGGGTGTCCTGTAGGAAGCGCTCATTTGTTCGAAGGCCCACCGGATATCAATATGGACCGCAGCAGAGTCGTTGATTGAGTGGATACTCATTAAGGATGGCAAGTCCTTGCTTGGGACGTTTACGGTTGCCAACAAGTCCCAGCTTTGATTTGTTTTCCGATCACATGTATATCCACATTCAACTTTGAATTGTGTGCCCTGGGCCGTCTATGGCCTACCAAAAGGCACCATAAAGGACCCTTGAAGGCAGGGTGAAACCACATTAGTATGCCTCATCGAAAAACCGTTCGCAAGCATGTCCGGCATCGGCTCGTTCCTGTCCTCGTTCTTCCCCACCACCCATGCCGACGACACAGAGGAGAAGCCCGCCGACACCCAGCTCACTGATGACGCCGCCGCGGAGGAGCCCAAGGAGGAGGAGGCGGAGGCGGAGGAGCCTGAGAACGTGTGTCTTCCCTTCCTTTCTTTCCTTCCTTTCCTCTTCCCGTGAGCACAGAGGGAAATGAAGAGGAAGCTAATGTGAATAGCACACACAGGAACACCGTGCGATCCGGGCGATCTCGTCCGCATAGGCCTTGAGTGTCGCGAAAACTTCCTTGCTGGACACAACCTGCGAGGAGCGCGCGGACTGCGCGCCGCTGAAGCACCACTTTGAGAAGTGCCAGGCGAAGGTGCAGGCGGGCGAGGGGTTCAAGGGCGAGGACTGCATCGAGGAGATGTGCGTCCTTTCGCTTTCTCCTTAGCTTTTCTCTCCCTGCGGCGTGCTGACGAGCGTCCGGCAGGTGTACGTCGTGCTTGATTCGTTGCCTGTTGACCGTCTAATGTCATGGACTCTAGTCAAGTTCAGTAAGCCCCCTCCCTTTCCCGTGCTACTTACAGGCTTACAGCTGACGTGCGCACCATCGCAGCATGATGCAAGCCTGCGCCGCGCCTCAGCTCTTCGCCAAGCTGCGCTAAACCAGCCGCAATTTTTACACCCGAAAAGAGGAAGAAGTGCGTCTGCTGCTCTGTCTCGATATCGGTATGAGGCGCGGCTGATGTCTCATAGATGGGAAGAATAGATGGTGTAGAAAAAGACAAATGTCGTCCGCGCGCGTGCATTATATGGCTAGTTCTTTCTCTCAAAGCGTCGCGTTGATTGCTTGGGGTGCGCCCCGCCTCGTGCACCACGCGCTAGTTTCTGCACTCGAACTCGAGCTCTCCGCCCTCCACTCCCGTGCATGCGTCTTAGAGACCCACTCAGTCATCGTGCTCCGGCACCTCATACTGTACGTTTACCATCGCCCCCATTTGTTCGTCCCCGGCCGGGAATTTCTACGCCGCAGCCGCAAACCTTGATAAAGCAATGTACACGGTCCGCTTCTGTATCAAGTATGGGTAATTGAGAAACATAGGCGCGTCAAGAAAAATGCCTGTGGAGGTCGCGCGCGTCTTTCTGACGCGCGCTATCCCAATATTACTATAGCTACGTACTAGGCACACCGTTATACTTGCCGACATGTAAAATGCATTCCTTCCCTGCGATGGCCTCTCCATCTGGGCCCGTTAAACCGACAAGCGCCTTCGTGCTGAACGCAAACGAAGCGTTCGACTTGATTGTCTGCGCACAACGACACCAGGTCCCGAGGGATCCAGCATGGCCCTGGGCAGGTATGGAGCAGGTGCGCGGTGTCGCTGAAGTGCGGGCGGTTTTCTGGATCAGTTCGCGTCCGGTGATGTACGACGTAGACGGGTTCTTCAACTTGGTGGTTCTGCACATGACCGTACGTGCCTGCATTTGTTACGCGTCAATCCACCGGGCAGAGCATAATAGTCTACGCCTTGAAATGCATCAATGACAGCGCAAGGTAGATAAAAAAAAACACGCACTTGTATTACACCGTCTCCAGCTACACTCACTCACAAAGACCGACACGCGGTGTACCCACCCCGCTCGAGCCCTAAATTGGAGTACGAGGAGTGTTTGCAACTGGAAACGGACGTGAAGGCGGTGCGCCGTGCGCCGCCGACCCTTTGGCGGCTTGAATGCATGTCCGTTTGTCCCGGAAACATAACCCGAGCATCCTAGACGCTACCCGAAAACATAGAGCTTGCGGGTAGACCCTGGAACACCTTAGAGAGTACAGAGGATGGAATTGCAAAAGGCAGGAAATGAAAGTTGACAAATCAAATCAAAGCTGGGACTTGTTGGCAACCGTAGACGTTCGTCAACAGCGGTTCGTCAATGGTGAGGGGCTCAGTGCTAAGATCTCAGAGCTCAGCCCGAAGGCGTACTGAATTGCAAAAAAAAAAAAAAACATTCGGGGCCGGTGCGTGTTCCTCCCCAGTCTCAGTCTCGTACGAGCCCCGCGCACCTACACAGACGCGGGCTCGCGGACATGTGCGCTGCGCGCATGCGTGTCTGGGCCGCCGCGGGTACGTCCATCGCGGGCGCGCCCGCTGCTCGTCTCGGGCAGAGTACTAGTCCGAGACCACCGGTGACGTTCCCCGCGCAGACTTGGATAAGACAAACACAGAGTCGGACGAGACGTGGGCAGCCCTGCGCGCAAGCTTCCCGGCGACGCAGGCGCCGTCGACTCTCCCGCTGCCTCTCTTGCCTTTCTCTTCGGACAACTCCCGGTAGCGCCAGCGCACGCACTGTCGCAAAGCAGGCGAGTATGGCGGTGGCGCGTCGCACCCGAGCACCTGCGCGGAAGCGGGCGCCGTGCTGGGGATGCGCGCGGGCATTGCGGCGACACAGGCGGTGCCCGACGCGCGTGCGCCTGACCCGCTGACGTCCGCGCCATCCGCGCCATCGGCACCCCACAGTCCGTCCGACGCGAGCGCTCCGCCTCGCCGACTGGCGCTGCTGCCTTCCCGGCTCTCTCCCCCCACCCGAATACGAGTAGTTTCGCGCCTTCCGCACCGCACGCGAGTGCAACTTGTAGCGCAGTTGTAGCGCCCGGGGGATGGGGATGAGGAGTTTGATGCGCATGAGGACTGACTGGTGGGGTCAGGAATGAGTGGAGCGTAAAGGCACCTTCGTCCTCGCCGCTCAACTCCGCGTTGATGTGCGTGTGTCGCTTCCGCGCGCACCCAACATGTACCAGTATTCATGTACCTACCTATCACTTGTCTGCTGATATTCGGCATTCAGCATTCAGCATTCAGCATTCATTTTAGCACAAGTACTGATAGCACGGCTTACAGGCGTTTGCACCGACTCGGTGGCGGTTGGCCTCCCGCGCTCAATTAGTATGTGTGTATCATGCAGCGGGAGGTGCCTGTTCGACTCAGGCTCGAGTCATACCAGGAGTCCCAATACGTTTTTCTTTCGGGCTGCGGAGAATCAGTACATCCTTGCGTCCACTGGTGCCAGAGAATTGGATTCGAAATCACCAATTTATTGCGAAGCTGAATTGTTTAATCAGTCTGCGCGCGATGCATGTTCTTACCTCGCAGCAGACACGCAACTCGTCCGGCCGAGAAAATTATGATTCAGCATTCATATGGGCACTAATACCACGGCCTCACGGTGCTTGTAGCGACTCGGTGGCGGATTGCCTCCTGTACTCAATTGGCATTTACAGTCGTCATGCAGCAGGAGGCGCCTGTTCGAATCGGGCCCGGGTTATTAATCGTGAGGTCGTTCTTTTTATTCCAGGCTGGGTGGCTGACTGCGGGAGGCGAATTTACAAGGAATGTTCAATTTGCGTCAATGGTTGATGGAGGCGCAGAACTCGAGCGCACGAAGGCATGCTGAAGCTGGATTTTTCAATGAGGTAGCACCGCCCCGTGCGCGATAGGTAAATGTAATTCACAGTGATCAAGGAGGTTAGCGCGGCTAGGTAGATACGACTCGGTGGGGGATGGCCTCCCGCGCTCAATTGATATTTGCAGCAGTACTGCAGCGGGCGGCGCCTGTTCGAATCGGGCCCGAGTCATATGCAGGAGAGGGGTATTTTTTATTAGACAGGTTGCACAAAAGCCATTCAAGCCATCAAGTGGCTTTTGTGCCGTGCGCAAACTGATGGCAAATGGCTAATGAATACCGGCGAACCAGTGGAGCATCCCTTTCAAACACATGATAATGAGAATTTGTACGGATCTTCGTGTTGAAAAATATGTTACGGCTAGCCTTCAGATCCTAAATTCCCAAGGAAACCAAAATATCGTGGGATGGAGTCGAACTTTTGGAATTCTTGAGCCACCGATGCCTCGCCATGAAGTGGACATGCTCACAGTGCTAGAACGAGTTGAACCTTGACTTCATATATGGAGACATGAAAGCCATTTGAGCCATGAGCCATCAGGTTGCGCAACCTGTCTATTTCTCTTCTGTCGCCTTTGTCTGACCGGTCCATTCATGTTGACCCCTTTCTTATTCTTTCACAATCCTTTCCTTATTTCTTAATCTCTCACAATGCAATCAGGCGCTACGTCAGCTCCCGGAGCCATCCCGACATCGTGAAACCTCGAATGTGTAACAGGGGCGCTGCAGAGATCTTGAGGACAACAAGATCAGCGTCAATGAATTTCTAGTAGAGAGGCCTATCGACTCCGCGGCCGGGCACAAAAAGAAGCACCTGAGAAATGACTCGGGCCTGAGTCGAACAGGCGGCTCTCGCCAGATGATACTATTCACTAGATTGTACATTGAGTATGGGCACGGTCCATCCCGAGTCGCTACATCGCTTGTGCGCTGCGCACTTAGTGCTGATCTTGTTAGAAGCGCATGTAATAACGCAGAATATTTATGAGTGCGACGAGTTGCGCCGTGCATCAAAATGCACCTCGTTGCCCGCTAGCTCCACGAAATACGATACGGCCCACAGCGCATTAACGCGAGCTCAAATTATTGAACAGGTCGTACTGCCCCTCCGCAGCACCAGAAAAAAGCAGAAGAAAAACCCCGCTTGCGGATGGCTTATGACTCGGGCCTGGTTCGAACAGGCACCTCCCGCCAGATGATCTCATAAATACGTTATCGAGCGCGGGAGGCAATCCACCACCGAGTCAGTAAAATCTCCTGTGCGCCTCGCTATAAATGTTAGTTGTGCTGTCCATATCAATGCTGAATATAGAGTGGGACGACCTCTTTGTGAGAGTTCGGCCCCGCCCTCCCAGCTTGGACTCCGCATCATCACGGCCCTGACCCACGCATTCAAGAACCGCACCTGCGAGCGAAGAAGAAGTGTTCAAACAAAGGAGGGGAATCAAAAAAAAAAAAAAAAAAAATTCTGGCTATTTTCGACGAGTCGGGCCTGGATCGAACAGGCGGCCTCCGAAAATCACTGATCAGTGGTGGGAAAATGAAGGTGGAGGAGCAGCGAGGTGGGCCCTGCCACCGACTCTTGCATGGCTCTCTGCACAGCCGAACTTCATACATGCTCAGAAAGGAAGTTTTTAGTTAAAAGAAAGATAGAATCATCATGACTCGGGCCTGAGTCGAACAGGCGCCTCCCGCTAGATGATACTATTCCATAGATCACACATTGTACGGGCGCGGTCCATCCACCACCGAGTCGCTACAAAGGCTGTGGGCCTCTCTGCTAGTGGCAGAAATTCGGACCCAATGCGGGACGGTACGCTGGGCGATACAACCAGAAGCCGCGCTCTCTGTTCAGTTTGCCACGCCTCCCTGATCTTGTCCCTGATGCCCGGGGCGTGACTTCCGACTTGAACTCGACTCGAACTCTTCGTAACGTTGAACCTCAGGCTCCCTAAAGCGAGGTTGAATTTTGAATGACCTGGAGCATGGTTGACTCACTTGTATAACCTGTCAGTAACTTCGCGGTTTTGAGTCGTTCAAACGCTGCAATTCGAGGTGGTGTGGCGGTGTGGCTGACGTCAGCCGGCTTCACCACTTGTATTCCCAAGAGTCTTCGATTGACTGGATGTGCGCAGATATTCATCCAGGACGACACGTCCTTGCTTGGGACGTTCGTCAATAGCGAGATGCTCAGCCCCGAGGGCGCCCAATCCGTCGAGCTGCGCACGCACGAATCGGACCAGCTCGTGCGTCCCTCTTCCTTCCGCCCTCGACTCAATTCCTCGGTCCCCGCGACAGGTACACGGGATGGACGTCCGCGCGCGCGCGCCCCCAGACGCGACGTCGCGGACATGGCCGCCGCGGGTCGCCGCCCTCCGCGCAAGCCTCGCAGCAACACTGGCCGTTGTCGCCTCTCTGGCTGCCGCGCCACCGCCTTGCTCGCGTTTCGCAAACGCACGCACGTGAGCAGGAGCGGCGGCGCGTAGCACGGGAGTACAGGCAGCGCAGACCTGCGCGCAGGAGTGAGTGCCGCGATGGGTATGGGCGCGGGCGGGGCGTCGCGGCAACATAGCCGGAGCCCCGATCGACGCCCGCCTCGCCGCCAGCTGAATCTGCACCTGACGTACGATGCCCAACTCGCTGCCGTCTGCGCCTGACTTCCCCTCCTCCGGACCATCCGCACCCGCGCCGTACACCGTTCGACGCGAGGGCTCCGCCTCACCGACCGGCGCTGCTGCGTTCCCGCCTTTCTCGCCGCATCCGAGTACGAGCAGCTTCGCGAGTACGAGCAGCGTTTCGCCTTCCGCACCGCCCGCGACTTGTAGCGCCCGCGCCTGGGTGGGATGGCGATGGGTGTGGTTGATGCGGCTGAGGACTGAGGACTGAGTGGTGGGCTCAGGAATCAGTGGTGTGCATCGTGCGCACCTTCGTCCTCTCCGCTCAACTCCGCATTGATGTGCGAGCGCACGCAACATGTGCCCGTATTTAACTACTTACTTGTGCTTTAGGGCCATTGCATGCGCATGGCATAACGAGTCCGGGACGGGTTTACATTTTACCTTGATGTCAAGAGCACGGTCACGGTATTCAAGTTTTCTTCCCACGTGTCCATTTCAGTCAGGTCCTGCGTATATGACTGCCTTTTTTCGGCCACATTTTTGAAGCACAGTCATGTCTTCGACATCCGTTAGGTTCATTTCCCTAACACATCTTCTTCCGGTGGATATACCATCATGAAACCACACGTTTGAATATTTGTCGATAAATCTGCAGGTGAAGTGACTTTGTGCGCCATATATGATGCCTCTCAGGCGCAGCTTGACCAAAGAATTGTCGCAGTCGAAACCTAGTTCCTTATCACACTTCAGTCTGTCGTTGTTGATGTCTATGAGCAGGATGGGTGGTAGGGTATTCAATCGAGGGACCATTACCATTTTAGATCTAATTCTCCGACTTCGACAGGATGGGCAGCTGCTCCGACCTCTTGTCAGGTACTTTGCCATCCAATTACTTATAGGCACGGGGTCTTGTCGTCCCGCTGTCGGGCTCAAACTAGCTGTCATCCACGCCTCAAACAAGTTATATTCGACTGGATCATTGAATCTGAGTCCGCATTTGGGACAGCTCTGTTTACCCGTCCCATAAGTTTTTTCGGGGAATAATGCAGATGCTACTCTGTCTATAGAAGTAGTATTTGGCCCGTAAGGAAAGTCCGTGGCGTTTGATTCATGCATTATTCTTCTGATACTATCTCTTGCTTGCTCTAGAGTTGAAATATTCCGCGCTACAGAATTCAAGTTCAATGCGTAACGCGCCATCATATCATTGAGTCGGCTGTAGCGTGTAGTCCACATATGGGTATCTTTGGCCCATAAGTTGTTCAATATTGTGAGGGTGGCGTCGTAAGCGTAACTATGGTCTCGGTTGTCCCACACCAAACCAACGGGCGAAAGGCTGCCATCCCGTCGTTCATTCCCTCCCTCAGGTACCTGTGGCCCACCAATTTTCTTACGTTTAGCATTCGGCTCATCCTTTACATTCCGAGGGTCTGAATCGGTTGTTTTCAAGTTGTTTTCCGTTTTTTAGTCCCTGGTACGGAAGGCCGCCAGTCGCTGTATACCACAGGGTCAGGAACTCTCGGCCCCAAAGAGGGATCCCACCTCATCGCTGGATGAAAATGCGCAGGGTCTCCGTGATTGCTTTTCCAAGCATAATAGGATCGAATCAGGCGTCGCCTGTACAGGCCCGTGACAGAAGGAGGTAGGAGTCCGGCGCATCGCAGTCGGGTTATTTCATCTAAAACTTCCAGTTCTCTCAGTTCCTGTCGTAAGTGACCTGATATCCCCCCTGTTATTTTCGCTGCATTTACACTCTCTACAATCACAGTTCCCTTGGCGGATGTTCCCCTAGAAAGCGCCACGTAGTAGGACATATGAGATTTGCAATTTGCGAGCTCGGCGACATTGATAGGTCTTGATTTGCCCTGCGAGGTATAATCCGTCATTCCAAAATTAATTAACGCGACTATCTGCTCCCTCAGCACAGACAAAAGGGTATCATCTTCCATCAGCACTGTTATGTGAGTTACAGTTCTCACCAAGGGCACTACATTGGGTGGTAAGTTGTTGATTTGGACATTTTTCGGAGGTTTGATCAACTTAACGAACAATGTATCAAGAACTTTCTGGCCCATGGGCCCCACGCTTTCGTCCCATCCTACTACGGCACCCTCTTGTCCCTTTGTTATACACATTTCTGTAGCGTCGTTAGCTCGCAGCATCACTGGCATCCCAACACATAGCGATAATTTTCCAGGTATGAATTCATTAGTCGTACATGGCGGAGCCTCCCATAATTTTTTCTGCAGTCCCTTCGTCATTTTTTTGATCTCGGACTGCTCGCAGTTTTTCCATTTGCTCCTGTCCACGGAACGCGAGCTAATCCTGTCCGTAGAATAAAAATGAATGAGTTCCTGCTTGGTATCTGCTGCGAAACGTCGGGCTCCTAGTTGGTTCAGGTTCAAGACATCCTTTTGACTGTTTCTTGCAGTTATAATGGATACATTTCTGAACTCTTTGCTTCCCAGTTTCGGGTTTTCAGGACGAAACCCGGCAACCCGGGACTGTAGAAACTCGATATCTGCAGGGGTACAAGCGCCGTAACGCATGTTTTCCAGAGCCATTCTTAACTTATCGTCTTCTGGGGTCCGCGCGTTCTGGCGCATGTTCTGTCTCAGAATGACTACTGTATTGAACTGGTGCCATAGAATGCGGCCAAGTATCGCATTCTGATTCCGCTGGTCCGTCCTTAACTTGCAGAGTCACCTTCCCGCTGTACAAAGATGGTCCGGACATAGGAGGGAGCTGAGCGAAGTCACCCGCGACAACCATGCTGAGTGATCCAAAAGAATCGTCGTGCACATTTCTTGCCTTTGCCGCTTGAGTAGCTAAAGCCTGACGATCATTGCAGGAGACCATCGATATTTCGTCGAGGAATATATAATCCACGCCTTGCAATCGTTCGTTAATTGCCGCCAGAGCGTTCGCATCATTTCTGATGCCATCTACATCATCGTGGTTCTTGCTTTTCGACTCTCTAGGGATCTTGAAAACCGAATGGTATGTTGAACCGTTCAATAAGGCAGCTGTTGATCCAGTAGGACCGAGGACCATGAATCTATATTCCTCCTTCCTTTCCGTGAAGAAGCTGATTATAGCGCGAATCACTTAACTTTTACCCGTTCCCCCCATCCCCCCCATGTACATTCTCAGTGGCAACGAAGGGGATCCGGAGGCATGGTCGGCAACCAAACGGAACGCTCTTGTCTGCTCAGTATTCAGTTTGAAGTCTTTCACCACCTTCGAAATAATGTCAGCATTATCTTGACCGCTCACGCCTGACCTGTGGTTGAAATAATGGTGAGGCAGAATAGTTATACCTTCTCGGACCTTCCTCTTTCTACGTTCTATTGCGGATTCTGGCGGCATGTTCGAAAGTTTATTAGCGGTCAACGCGGCTCTTTGATGCTTGATGATGCTGGCCCATTCTGCACGAGGTTTGTAAGGAGGTAAGATTCGGTCGAGGTCCATCGGTGGGAGAACCCATCCGCTTGAAGTAAGCACCAGACGGAGGAGATATACCATGGCGCGTGAGTGACTGCACTTGGTTCGGCGGAGGAAGATATCTGGGATGGTAACGGATAAAATAGTGCATACCGAAGAACAGTGTAGAAGCAAAATAAAATTTTCGAAGAGCTGTCTGGTCGTTAATGGGGATAACACAACGCATGGAGGAACTATGCACCGTACGCACATACTATGTATAAGCGTAAGCACGATGTGTATAGAAAATACCGCGACAGGCACGTACGTAGACACGGAGTCCCGAGCCGTGCTTCGCGAGGTTTTCCCGCTGGAGGACGCCGAGCAGGCTGACCGCGCGCCCACGAAACGCACGTCGCGAAAGGACATCCAGATGCGGCTCACAACGCACAGTGTACAGGACGCACTCGATCTGCGCGGAGGAGACAGTGCGCGTTATTTGTGCCACAGTTTATCGCACGAGCAGGAGGCTCGAGGGTAACACGAAGGTGGACTAAGACGCGCAGCGCGAGGGCAATATATATAGTTATTAAGGAGAGTTAAAACAGCGGCATGGACACGCAATAGGGCACTGGCATCGGCTTCACGAGCTCCTCCCTCCGTACCAGAAAGAGCCGAGCAAGCAGCAGCCGGACAAAGCAAAAAGAAAGCGGC